ACGCACTCGACGTTAACTGCATCTCAGATGTACAAAAACAAATTATTAATTGATCGGTTCAGTCGTTAGCATTACATTTGAGGTGGGGGATAGCAGTATTTCGAAGGCTTTTAATGTCACATAATTCCTAACAACTGAGCAAAAGTTTTAGTTTGCTCACGGCCTGTAGCAACATAGTGACAGATTCTGAACTTTGGCAAAATGAACTCAGCCGCTCTTTAAATGGACAACACGTTTTCGTGGTTAACATGATGTACGCTCAGAAAATAATCAATCTTTGAAAGGTTAAGACGTTCTAAGAAAACGGATATTTGCAGATAATGAGAGGATGAGACGTTAACAGCACTTTCTTTTGTTTCCCGTGTCTTCTACTTGCCATTGAACCGTCTAGTCAGAGAACGGAATATGAGACATAATTCATCATAATACTAAAATTAGTAAAACAAGGAAATTCCGAAGGGCATACGTACAATGCAATGAAAGGGTACAGATTAAACACTCTTACAATGATATGTGAAAAAAAAATATATTATAGACAATTTAAATATACTGACGTATACAACCGAATAACGAGGGTACGTCAATATTTCCAACTAGTTTGTAATCACCTGCTAATTTTCCACCCATTGTAAAAGATTGTTAATGGTGTATGTTTGGAGTACGGCGCTGTACGGGTGTGAAACATGGACAGTGGGCGCGGCGGAAAAGAAAAGGTTAGAAGCGTTTTACAGGCGAATGATACCGTCGATAAAGAAGGTTAGAAATGAAGAAGTATTAGAAAGAATAGGAGAACAGAGGACTCTATGGAAATCTATGAGAAGTAAGTTGGTAGGTCACCTTCTCAAGCATGACGGTCTAGTCAGAGACATACTAGACGCAGAAACGAAAGTTAGGAGGGGTAGAGGTAGACCTAGATTCGATTACTGTTCGCAAATAGTTAAGGATATGGGTTGTTCTAGTTTTAGGGAAATGCGAAGATTAGCTCAGGATAGGAAAGAGTGGAGGTGCGTGTCTAACCACTCTTAGGACTGACGACCTTATGATAATAATGATGGATGTGGAATATTTTCTTCAAATTTAAATGGTTTAATCGACTCACAATTGGCGAAGGAAAAAAAAAAACATACATACAAAAGAAATGCACTCGAATTGATCTTTTTTTAAGGTCGACTGATGACTTCGCAAACTTTAACATGAAAGTGATACAATTGTTCTGAATGTAAAATGTATTTCCAACATGCTCAAAACTTTCTTTATTACATTCACCTGGTTTTAAAATTATGTAGATCACACCACTGGTGCCTATTAATTCACTTCTTTTAAAAACATTGTACAATTCCCCTCATAATGGGCCCTGATAAATGATAAAATACAATTAAGCAACGCCCGCTGACGTTCAGATACATTTTCATTCTTCGACATTTACAAAGAAAATGCAGCATGTAAGTATTGTTGGGTTTATGTGTTTACTTTCAAGAAGTTTTACACCAATAAAACACGACAAGTTTTAGAACTTGTTCACATAAATTCTTAAAAGTTTCAACTGCTCATGACATCCTTTCATATCTAGTTTATATCTAGTTAACACAAGGGAGTAATAGAAGCGGATAATAAATTCTTTGTCACGCTTTAACTGGTACTAATAAAATGAAAATCGCAAAATTACACATTCGTATTATCACTATAGTGAGTGCACAAGTCCAGACTGGTTAGGTTGTTATGGTAAAGAATTAGTGCTGTAAAACCTGAAAATTTATGTTATCTGTGGAGTATTCCTGTTCTAGCATTTACCTAGATGCTCCGAGGAAACCGCACATTTCCAGAAAGTTGGGCTTATTATCTGTACCTCTACATCGCCAGACCAATTTACCTGGTCAAATAGACGTTACCGTATTAGGCAAAAATGGTTCAAATACCCTTAACGAGTGGTGTTCCCGATCGTACTGTTTAAAGTGTCCGCTCAAAAGTTTTTGTGGTAATTAGGGGCGTCTTATTTTTAATTTTTTAAAAGTACTGTTTAAGTTTGAAAAGATGCAATACTAATTAAAACTAATTAGATTCTCAGAAGGTTAAAAGGAAATAACCACACAACAAATACTTGAAGTGACTTTTGATAGTTTCAGTGTTATGATTTTCATTTAACTTTTTTCTACCTTGCTCTTTAATTCTAACAGAGACTTTTGTTATTATAACGTTAATATAGCTGACAGATGCTTGAATTTTTTTGCAACATAAAAACTTTTAAATATGCCATATTCTATGTTGTTCATCATTGTTTGTATACGAGAATTGTTTTTAGGGACCAGTACTAAAAAAGAATTTATAATGCTGGATTAAACAAAGCACGTTAAATAATAATAATAATAAATTGGCGAAATCGAGTTATTATATTATTACCTATATATTTTTTCTCAGTACTCATTCTTAAGAATAATTCTATTACAAAAATTACTGTACTGTCACATTAATGCTGCCTTCAATGCTGGCATAATTTATTCAGACATCAGCCTACGAATTCCACACAACAGTTTGACCGATTTATCATTTGCTTAGAAGAAATGTGCATTGACCTCTAATCTACATGTATCTATATATATATACAAAACAGTTTATGAAGAAATACAAATGTTTCAATTCAAAAAATATATCCATCGCCTAATGAAAATGAAAATTATGATTGGATTTAAATATCTATCTTGCTAATCTATCATTTAAAAATTAGACCAAACAAAAAAACTCTAGAATTCCAATTTTGTTTCGACGAGTAGGTGGGTGCTTCCCGTATTCTTGCACAACATTATTTCACTGTTTCAAATGGAATACTTAACTTAATCCTTCGTGGCAATTAATATTAGAGTAAGAGCCACTCGAAGCTCCAGACAAAAATTGCCTTTGAGAAGCCCGAGCGAAGAGTAAAGCAATAATTATCTTAAATAACTGAACTTTTCGCAAGACGTTTTAAAAACACTTTTAAGTAACAAATTGTCGAGGATTTACTTAAGTGGGCCGGTTTAGAAATTGCTACAATTACATTTTTATGTCGAAAGCAATCCGTTACAATTCCATAAAGCTGTAGACAACTAAATGAGAATTAAAAACTGTTTTTATGAAGTACATTTTATCGATAGCTTTATGAGACACTATATCAACAGTGGGGAACGTAGAAGAATAAAGATTCGGGCTATAGGGCCGTGATCTAAGTGAACTATGCTGTCCTGACAGCTGACAGCGACTTCGAGATATAATTTATGTTCACGTTGTCACCACCACTGAGGATGTCAGCAGCAGTAGCTGACAAAACGTCTGGACAGAATAGTTCACTTAGACCACGGCCCTATAGCCCGAATCTTTATTCTACTATGGATTCCGGCGGTGAAAGCCTTTGTTCTTATAGTGGGGAACGTTTTTCCGTGAATTTCTTATGCGGCCTTCATAAACACTAGCCCTTGTATTAGATGATATTTAATGATAGATATCACGAAACATTTATCCCCACCTCCTCCCACATAATAGAACCGTAAAGCCTGAATTTACGTTACCTAATTCATAGACAGCCCCTTATGTAGAGTTTACTGTACGATGTACGTCTGTCTATCCAATCCCACAAATGTAAATTAACTATGCCTATGGTTTCATACAAAATTAATAATCTGCAGAATTCATGTCAATGGGTGTAGCAGGTAAAACTTATCGAATATATTATTATAACAATTGTATTGACAACGTTGTCTAATAAATAATAAACAGGCAATTTCATGGAGTAAGCCTGTGAAATTCGTAATCATTCAGTGCTCAGAATCTAACTCCAATTGACATTCAATTCTGTTTCAGATTCGTTAACAAAATCATACTTTTAGATGAACACGCTGTGCCCGTTTTGTACTCACAACTTCGACTAAACAATGAATATTGTTATTAAGGCGTGGATATCGTCTGTCTGTTTGATAGATATGCATTCATCAAAATAAATATCATCAAAATACCTATACTCTATTCTGAATTCCACTTAAGATACAAACAAGCGTGAATTTTGGATTTTGACCAATTGACCTAAGTAAATTTTAATGGTTGAATAAGATAAACCTATTCTAAAGCACATCTTCATAATTATTAAATCTATCTCACAATCACAAATAACAATAACAGAACCAGAATCTGCACTCAGATATATACATTTTCAGTAATAATTAGTATTCATTCGAGAATTGAAACGCTAGCGAATAATAGAGTCTACGTACACCCAGTCGACAACTTGGGTCAATAATTTGCATGTCAAAATTGATATTCTCACTTAAATAATTATATCTCGCCAAGAACCGTGAAAGGCAGCGTTTTGAGTACCAAGTGCCTACGTACCTACATTGATATGAGAACACAGAATTCAATTAATAAAGAAAATTATTCATCCCGATAACAATAAAACTAGATTGTATTTTAATCTACATGTGTGACAGTAAGTCAATTTTACCTATTTATCATTTATTCCTGCCCGTTTATTCCATTGTTTTACTTTATTATGGATAATTAACAAAAACATATAAATAAGAACAATATAATAATAAAAGCAATCAAGTAAGTTAGATACCTACTAAATAACGAGCCAATTCTGGCGCAATTTCTACAAAATTATTACTTTTTTTTTAACTCTTTTAAATGCTTAGGGGGCAGCATCAAAAGTGCCCATGACCTACACCTAATAACTGACATAGGTATTTGCCAAAATATGGAATTCATTTGAACTGATAAAAAAATGAAATATTTTTCAAATGACGTATTAGTGATATCAGTTAAGTACGTCAAAGAATCATTAGGACATTTTAATTGTTGTTTTTATATTAAATATATGGATATCTACATTTTTTAAAATTTAATGACAAATATTCCGGCCACACGTCTTTATCTTTCAATTTTTATTCCTCAACAGTTCTATTGGGTTACATTTATAATTATTTTCGAATATAACGCTTAAATAAAATACGAAAACAAAAAACTTCACTCACATTAAATGCTTCAGCATTCCAATTAATTATATCATTTGAATTAAACTTCGTACATCGAAAAATCCCAACGTATTTTCACATTCCAGCAACACACATGCTACCAACAACGACGCGCACATGCTACTGATATTCTGCTACACGCTATTAAACGATAGGCGTCGAATATGCGCGAAGCACGACAACGAAGAATCGCACCATCAACGTCTCTCTCTTTTTCATGGCAAGGATTGCTTTGCCCGGGTAACATCTGTTGCGAGCAACTCGTGAAGAAATTCGAAGGAATATTATCTTCCTTCTGCTTTGGTTTTATCGGCGCCTCGCTACATAGGTTACGGGGCACCAGAGGTGCAAATTCTTCGGACTCATTACGAACTCAAGCAGTGAATGAGTTTCGTTGTTGTTTTGATTATTTTCTTCTTTTAAACTGTTTTGGGGTTTTTGTTACAAACAATTGGGTTAATATGAGAGGGGACATTAATTCAAGTAAAGGGATAGATAATGGAGGAGAGTATCCTTTCCTGCACTTTATTAAACGCATTTCAGCAGAAAATCTTAAACATCCCATTTTTTAATAAACAAAGGGACATTAATAAACTAAGTACGATATGCGGCAGATGAAATCAGATTAAGACTAGACAATATATAAAAAGTGTTACAATACGTACACATTTTTTGTTTTATTGTGACAGTAGTCATTAAAACATTTTTCAGGAGGAAAAGAGTAAATATTTAAATAATATTTGTGGTAGTACAAAAAGTTCACGTTTTTCTAATGTAAAAGTAAAATAGGATAATAACGGATGTATTAGATAACGAAATCATGTAATTTTAAAAAACAAAATCATAATTATGGTATTTTCGTAATAACGTAACATTTGATGCAATGATGTACACCCCTCAAAGCATCGCGGGTGACTAACATACGTATAGTAGTTTGATTGTTATAAACCGGCTCGACGCACCTGATTGGCTGTTACGTAGTCGGCCATCTTGCATTATGTGAAAAACTAGGTCAACTTGCACGTGTGGTAGTAGTAAATTTCCTTAAGTAATGCGGAAGTAAACAATGTTAGGCGCCACTAATTCATTTACATATATATATACGAATGAATGAATTAAAATAGGGAAACACTAAAATAGGGTAGCTCAGTTATTTCTTAACGGATTTAAATTTAGTTTTCACTGGAATTTAGGTAATTTAAACTGCTACATAATAATACTAAGAAGGAATAAATGTAGAATCCTTTTTTAAAGAAAAGATTAATGAAATAATTTTTTATTTAACTTTTAATTCGTATTCGCTGAATAGTTAAATACGAATTTAAGCAGCCACTAGGGCCTCCATTTGAAATACATAAACGGTAACAACAATTTGCTGTTTGTCAATAAATAACAGTAAAAAGTGTAAGGTGTACCGCCATAATTAGCTTTCAATGGAGTGAAGCTGTTCCCCATTAGATTATATGCATCATTTTATGCTATTAAATGGAGTTTTCTTTTTTGGAGATATTGTTTTCGTTTTTTAAAACTTTTCGTTAGTTAAACACACAGTTGTGGTATGTCGTTGGTCAGTTTGAGGGTAGGGCAGTGCGCAAAACTTTTCCTGGAAGCGTATGAATTTACTGGGTAGAAAAGAAAATAGAAAAGCTGAAGGGAACATGTTTTAACTAGAGCATGAAAAGTTGACGAGTCAGCGTAATATATTTACGCTTACAAAACGCTGCTATTTTGGCTTCTCGTTGTGGTATACATCAGGAAATTGCAGATAATACAGTAGAAGATGCAAAGGAATTAATTAAGTCCTCAATAAACTTCGCATTTCAGAAATAGTAACGTAATTTATGCTTTTAAAATTAGCAAAAACTGTTAGATACAAAAACACCAAAATACAAAATTGTACATAAAAACCTTTAAAAACTCTGATACGCCTTTCGACATTCGTTTTCTGTTAAAACTCATCATATATATACATACACCTACTGTACGATAAAAAGGCAATTAGTTTTATTAATTAAGTAGGCTCTCGAGTAGCGGTAATTCCCTCCAAATTCACGGCCCTTCGTTGCAATAACCCCTAATATTATATAATCAAAGTATTTTATATTGTAAATGGAAGTGTCTACTTAATTTTGGAATTGCATTAGTTGCAGATAACAGATATCGTTGAGTGTCGAAGTTTTGAATTTTACAAAAAGGATCTTGCAGGAAATACTTATTCAACTGCAGTGCGCTTGGGACTCTCGGTATCCATATCTACTAAAATCAGGTCAAGCGCGGCATCGAAATGTTTCCCAGAGCGATTTAGGTGATCCGCTTTTGAATTCTGTGTTCATATTTGACTTCCGAACCCGCATCCTCGAAGGACACAACCCAATTTTAATAAAGTGACTTCTGTCGTGAAGTATACCCATAACTAAACTTTTTTTGAACAATTCTTCCAAAGAATGAAAGCTTCAAAAACATTTCTGTCACTAATAAATTTAAATTATTAGAAGCTTAAAATAAGACAAAGATGCCTTCTAATACGTCAACCGAAAAAAGTGCAAAAAATTCCTTGATAATTAATAATTCCAAATGTTGTGGATTCGGTATTGGTTTCCGGGCTGTTTTACCATAATTCATGGAATTTCGTAGTTCCAAACTCGTGACTAATATCAGTGACGACTCAGCACCTGCCAAGTCATCACTGAAGGTATCTCCAGCAAAAGAAAAGGCGAAACGTATGAAATGACAAAACAATATAATAATCGATGTACGCCCCCCGGGAAAGCCTTAAAAACTACAAAATATTGTGGTGTCCTAACAAATATAAGCAAAAGTCTTAAAAACTATTCCAAAAACTTTTCTTATTAGATGAACCGAAAGCTAAAGAAACTATGCGTAAAAGATCAGAACCAAAATAGCATTAAAATATTTTTTGATATTCAATGATTGATATTAGTTTTGCATCAATAAAATTATAAAATTATTTATAAATCTATTTGTGCTCTGGTCCTTTATTCTAAAGGAACTATTTTGGCATCAGTGTCATGCTCTTTTTTTCTAGAGAAACCCCAATATTTAGAATATGAAACCGATTCAGAATTAAACAAATACCTAACACAAAACGTTTTCTTAAAAAATCTTTTACACTTGAATAATATAAAAAAATAATACTTTTAGCAAACCATTTTACCCGTTGTTACATATGACACGTTTTCCTTTAAAATTAGGAATGTTTTACGTTATTAGGTATTATTAAGAAGGTTACAATATTGAAAACAGGCTTAAATGGGACGTCTAAACCTTAAAGATATATGAAGAGAAGATTAGTAATACCAAATTAATACTTTTCGATAAGGCACTGTTAATCTATCCGAACAATGCACAATGCTACTACCTAAATAGAAAGAATTAAATCATTAACTAAGAGGTTAAAGGAAGAATTTCTACAAAAAATACCTAAAACTTTCAAGCTGTTCAAAAGACATTAATGTGGGGGTCATGAAGTAGACAATAACTGGCCCTATTTTTCAGGCTAAAGCTTAAACGTTAACGAGATTGTTTACCTCACCAGACATTTCGACCTGTTCCATACGTGCCACGTTAATTAGGGTGAGGTCCGCAATGTTCCACCTAATGAGAGATTCGCAAATGTCCAGATCCGCAATTGACTTTAAATTTAATATTTTTAACCACCTTAATATGTCCTATATTCTTATATTCTTCACCATTTGTTTGTATAGATTACATAAAACTGATAAAATGACTATTTATCCTTCTTAGTGATCTATCTACCTACTACTGTTACAGTGTACCGATTTTGAACATCCTGATGGATACGTTATAAGTTTTAACTGAGTTTAACTGTATCCCCGTTTTCCTCTTTGACAAAGGCGAAACTAGAGAACACAGTTGCAGAAAGTTTAAAGTTGAAATCGAAGCAAGCAAAGGATTCCTACATACGTACCTACGTATTCAGGTACCTACTTATGTGCATATCTAAACAAGTGAAGAAAGTTAATGCCTGGTTCGCATTCTTCAGAAGTTGAACCAAAGCCGAAACAGAACGTTTTCCTTACCGACAGCCAGGCAAAGGTTGAACAACCTTGGAGTGCACTTCGCGTCGTGACCCAACGAACAAAAAAATTGTCGGAAGCAGCGCCCTCCCAGACACCACGAAATCGACTCTTAAGCACTTTCCTGAAGAAACTAACGCCATTTACCAACACTAAACCTAACAATCTGGATACAGAAACATCGTATGGGGGACAAAATGATGGAATGCATACTACATTTTGTATAAACGACTACTTTTTATCCTCCTTCAATTAATATCAAATCCAGAGTAGGTACCTAAGGGCACGACACTCTCAGATTCAGATAAAATTTTGGCAAAAGATAATACTTGAGTTATTTTATCTTTTGTGAAGATAAAAGATGATGAAGAGAATTCTCACAATCTAATATAACATTAAACCAAACCGTTCAAAGTAAATTACAATTTTTACTGTAAACCCTGAAATTTTCAACACTCTTAAGCCTTTCCCGTCACATCTTATATTTATACTACTAATTGCAATGATAAAAAAATTCTTTAGAGACNAATTTTGCAAGTTATTGAAACAGACAAGACAATAAGATAGCATATAAAAACTTTTACATTGATTTTTTGGATTATTCAAATAGAAATATTGAGGTCCAAATTTTATTTAAAATATGAAATTCGGACGAATCATTTTTAAGGTTCTGTATAAATGAACCGAAATATTTAATGATTTGAATCTACCCCTTTATGGTGGAAATTCATTGTAAAATTTAAAATAAAATAATAAACTTTTGTGGTTTAATATATAATATTACCAAAATATGTTTTATACTTAAAAATCATACTGCTGGCAACATTCAAATTTACTAATAAAAATTACAGTTCTTTAGAAATTATGAAACCTGGTGACTCTAATAAGTAAAATGCATCAAGTTTTTAAAGAAAATATTCAAGTTGCAGTGCTCATTAACGTAAAGAAAATACAAAAGTTTTTGCCGGAGCAATTACTAACGAGCATTTTAAAAAAGTTTCAACAATAAGCATTCATTAGGTATTTGCCTGGAACGTAAACCGTAAGGAACCATACTTG